GCATTAGAGTTGAAAAATGAAGTTTTCGAATACACTCACTATCCTGACGTAGTTGCACGATTGCTTAGATTTTCGACCCTTAATCAGCGCTATTTTGTTTCTTTTGCGGAAAAAAATGGTACACATCTGGGTTATGAATTCGACATATTTTTAGAACTTAGATAAAAAAGAGCCGATCTTAAAATACGCGAGACCCCTGTGCATATTTACGATGATATAAACTTAAAGGGCACATTTCGCACAAATGATAAATACAGCCATTAGATCCGAAAACAAAGCGTCTAACATCGAGATGATTTATAAATGATATTTTCCTACAATAAATAAAAGTTAGGGCGATCACAACGTATTTATAGTATCAGATATCAATACACATAGGGAGAGACAGAGGACACACAATTAGGTGTAAAATATAGACTGTTTTCATTTCGAAAATATCTACTGACTTTCAGAAAATCTTATCTGCAGAAATTACTACATGATGATCCTACAGCTGTTCGACACAGACATGATGTCAAAATGTAGTATAGTAGTTGGTTAATTCTGTAGTATTGGAGCCTTATCGTAGAAATACAACAATCGCCGACCTTTGTAGGCGATACGGGCTAGTAAGCTTGGATAAATTTCTACGCGGTTCGCCTCTTTCGGGCTCAGTTGTGGTTTTTGTCTAACTGATTCCTTGCAACCAATCCTCCAGAAGCCTGCTTGAGCCCAACAGCTTCTAAACCTCTCTCTTCCTGTGACCTCACACCAACGGGTGAAAGCCGATGCAGTCCGCGCTTTTACAAGTCACCGGGTGCAGTATTCGCCCGACGAGAAAAATACGGTGTCCTTGGTCAATGACCCACCGGTTAGTCACTCGACGAGTCTTTGGACAGTGCCTTCTATTGAGTCACTGGCTCGCCGTTCGCGAGGCTTAAAGCATTACCGTCAATTGGGTAACCGGCTCGCCGTGCGACGAGATTCCAAAGCGGTGCCATCTATCAGGTCACCGTCTCGCCGAGCGAAGAGACTTGAAACGGCTCCGTCTACTGGGTCATCGGCTCGCCGTGCGACGAGACTGATTTTTCGCTGGTAGAGAGCGTTACTCAACCCGGTCCTTCCTAAACTCTTGGCGCTACCAGTCGATACCTGTACAAGCTATTCCTCTCGAGTTTCGATGGCAGGCATAATCTAACCCACGTAGGGACCGTGGGTGAACGCGTGTCTTGGACTCAGGAAATTCTGCACTGTATTAATTATCTCCTATCCTCTCCCTGATCTCAATAAGACTCTTAAGTGGTTCTTCGTCGTTCCTCTCATCCTCTTATACTGATACCTAGTATGATGGACTGTTCATCATCTCGCTCTATCTTCAAATCTTCTCTTGTCGAGCCTTGACTCGTCGAGTCCTCTCTCGTAGACCCTTGACTCGTCGAGTCTATTCTCGTCGATACTTCTCTTGTCGAGCCTTCGCTCGTCGAGTTTTCACTCGTCGAGGCTTGGCTCGTCGATTTTTGATACGCCGACTTCGATGCGCTCCAACTTCTCTCGTCGCATTCTCCATTCTTATAATCAATTCGAAAGTAGTCAATAACACGTTCAAAAATTCACGGTATCACACTTGGGTTGCCGACATTTAAGTCGGCTACACTTGTGTCGCTGACCTTCATTTTTCCGATCTCGAATTCGCTGACCTCTTATTCGCCTACCTCCGGTAATCCCACTCGTATAGTTAGCTTGAAAGAAAATTTCTCTGCATCACAAATATCATACTCGTACCGTATTGTTATAAGATGGACTTGATGCGTGCCTTCCAACTGCTAGATAAAGTATACGTTCTTTAATTAGGGTAAATGAATTGATTACGGAAATGTATTTGGGCAAATCGTACTTTTGGCTACGAAACGATAGGGTCAGTAAGAACGGCAAAAGTGAAAAGATTGAATTTTTACATACATTGTAAACATTGATGGCAAGATGAAGTCCATATATACACACATCTTGGAAATAAACGCATGCGTGGGACCACATCGAAAATATGAAGAAGTCCGTTTATACCCACTAAACGAAGTAACGATGTCGAATGGATTCAACATTTAGAAAAGTCTGGTGGTCGAAGTTTGTTTTCTGGGGTCATTGATAATTAAGATTCCTACCATTAGAAATGTAGACAAATTCTAATATATAATTAGAATTGGTCTACAATTCTTTATCTTTAAGACCGTCTTTGGCGTTATTACCATGATTCTGTATGAATGCTGAGGAACGAATAATGTTTGCGAGATATCCGCACTGCTATTCACATATCATACTAATGTTTACACGTGAAATAAGAAGACAAATGTACTGAACTTGTGTGAATCAATCTAACCAATGCATATTGTAATACTAATAGCCATTTTCATAGCCTTTAAAGCGAGGATTTATATCACCACCACCTTTGCTATCATCATTATAAACGGTAAATTTGTGGAGACGGTAAAGCTTGAATTGCATTATACACTCCATCAGCGTTCCTTGCACCATATAGGTAGATAGTAAACGAAACGGATTTAATGCAATGTTTTGAGCTTCATCTTTATCAGCGGCTATTTATTTGATCAAATATCTACTTTTTGTGAATTCGTTTGGACGAGAAGGCAGGTACGCGTCAAAACGGCAAATCTGCTTTCCTAGAACGTATTTTTGGTCAGGAAACAAGCTCAAGTTTAGATTCACTATTGCACTGAGACACATCAGTAAGTGAACCGCCGACTTGGCAGTGTAAGCTCAGTATCACAGTTGTCGAAAGTACCAGTCAGTCATCGATGCATGTTAGGCAAAAATTGAATGACCTGTTCTCTTCGTACCTATTTTGTAACGGAGCACGCTACTTTTAGATCACTGGTAATTCCTTGTATATTGATTTCATACGTTCTCCCGGACTTCACAGACTCGTGAGCATTAAGAAATTGCGAGAGAGGGAGAGCTGGCAAATGATGCTCGGAGCAGGGGGAAATTAAATCTGTTTATATTCTTTATGAATTCCTTTTTGAATAATCTTTTTGTAGTTTCCTAATTACCAAACGCACGATCTCTTACGTAGTAGGTTTCTCGCTCACCACTTATTGCGCGCTCTTGCAGCAATTAATAACTGATTTAATTGATAGCACGGCCCATATATACCGAACGGAAAAGCGGCCTTGCTATAATTATAATATTGAAGGTAACATTTCATTAATATTTCTTCGCCAGAGAAAGTGATGAATGTCATGAATCAAGATAACATTCACATCGATATATATTTTGTCTAAACTGACCCGTAACGGGCTGATCCCATTACACCTTTTTTGTATGTCAAAACCAGTGGATGACTTACAGTTGCTTGCGATCACGGTAAGCCATTGTCGCTCACAACAAATTCGCCTCGTTCAGTCCTGCGTGCTTGTCTTGCCCGCTAAGGTACAACAAGTATGTGCGTAGCTTACTGCAACAGCACCAAAGGTATGTCATCTTCTCCTAGCAGCGTTATCTGATTGAGCCGATGTGTATCCTTTACGCCAACTTTCTTCCGCACATTTAATGATATTGTAAAGCGGCACCTAAACGCGGCACCATCGCTTTACTGCTGACTTGTGAACATCGACACGGGCGACAGCTACATGAAATCCCATGTTGGACGAATCAAAGCTGCATACAAGAAGTGATATACAGTTACCGTACTAACGTGTCACGATGCACCTGTTACTGCTTGCAAACTACTGGCAACGGAAATGGTCGTAAAGGCATGTAGTAGATTGTGTATAAACCAAACGGGGGTATAAGCGATACGTGTACACCTGCTCAAGATCACAGATATTCGTATATACGTATGATCTTCGTAGGTATGGTAAACATTTTTGCTGTGATTTTATATTTATTTAGCATTTGGCGCTTTTTTTCATCGCATTGTGCACTTACATGCACTACAAGATCTGACCTCATCATGAAGGTTTCCAATCACTTTACAAAAGTAATTTGCTTATTTGAGTTACGTGCCGACAACCGCGTTTTAGTTGCCTCAGCTTTCCGACTCCACGCACGCAACTAACAGTCATCATGCGCGTAGTCTACGATCGCTGTTCGGAACTTTCGGTCACGATAATAAAAGGTCGATTGTCAACGCACGAACCAACGTCATGAAGGCAAAGCGCTGGAAGAATCAGGTCGAGCGGGAAGCACGTCACCAGTTCGAAGGCGGAACATCGAGGCAGCAGATCACTGTCGCCAGTGACACCTGTACCTCTCATAAAGAGTACGCCACGCGCGCCTTGATGGGGTATCCGAGTATGCAGACGCCATACTATCAGTCGACTTGGTCCTCAGCCCTCGCCGAAATTTGCTCAAAAAGGAACGTCACACAGCCTGTGCAGAAAGCCTATGCATGCATAGGCTTCTTTCTGCGTAGCAAAAGCGCTGGCTAAACTTTTGCTGGTGCGTCACTTTAGTGGGCGGTAGAGGTCAGCCAGTGGTTTTCACAGCGGCTTTATCGTAAAAGAGGGGGGGGCGAGTTGGTGGTGGTCGCGGCTCGTTCCCACCACAAATACGATACCGGATGAAGCCACGCGTTATCGCCCTATCGAGTTCGTAACCCACCAGGAGCTCTTCACAGTGGAGCTGCTGAATGTCGAGCGGGCATAAAACAGGACTCCACTCCACTCATGTGTTGACGACCGAAAGCCGACGACGCTATAGAAACGTCGCGACACGGATGGAAGAAAACAGAGAGAGGCCGGTTGGCACCTTCTGGGGATGGGAAGCGTTCGCCTGCCTCGTCGTCTCGCGCTCGTTGCCGCGTTGCGTCGCGCGCCTGACGTGTGACACGACGATAATCTCTCGCAGATGATCGACAAATCCTACGTGACGCCGGACGACGGATAGGCGGTCCGAAGAACGCGGACGCTGTGCCGCGCCGTGCGTTGGCCCCCCACGATCCTCTGGTCGTCACAATCGCCTTCGCGCTAAAGCCGGCAGCAGCAGCAGCAGCAGTTGGGCGAGCGATGTTACCCGAGCTGTCGCCGCCCATACTCGAGCGCTCGCTCCTTGAGAGCGGCTACACGCGCGAGAGCGGGCAGACGACCCACCACAACACGCCCGAGTGTCCGCGAAAGAGTGAGTCCAGTAGTTTCTACAACCAGACGGTGTCGAGCAAGTACGAGGAGCTCATCAACCCGTGTGTCCTGAGCTGGACCAACCTCAGTTACGCCGTGGACGGGGGAAATGCCAACAGAACGTCAGCCGGCAAACACGTTATCCTCGACAATGTCAGTGGTCGCAGCGCTCCCGGCGAACTCACTGCGATTATGGGCCCTTCTGGATCAGGGAAGACGACGCTCGTGGACTTGTTGGCCGATCGCATTAGCTCTGGCCATGTGACGGGGTCGGTCGAGTTGAACGGGACGGAACGAGCGGCCAAGACCTTTCGGGCCGTCACGAGCTACGTGGCTCAAGATGACACGCTCTTGGGATCGTTTACAGTCGCCGAGACTATGATGATGGCGGCGAGATTAAGTCTGCCGAATTGTGTGGTGATGATGGACATTCACTCTCGAGTGGAGAGCGTCATGGACGCTATGGGACTTGGTGCGTGCAGCGATACGCTGGTGGGCGACATGTTCCGCAAGGGGCTGTCGGGCGGCCAGAAGCGGCGCCTGAGCATTGCGTTGGAACTGTTGTCGAACCCGAGCGTGTTGATCCTCGACGAGCCCACGAGCGGTCTTGACTCCAGCTCAGCGAACAACGTCATGAAGTACATTGTGAAGCTTTGCAACGAAGGCAAGACCGTTGTGTTCACGATCCACCAGCCCTCGTCGCTGGTTTACGACATGTTTACGAACGTGATCGTGCTGTCCGAAGGTCGAACGGTGTACGGCGGGTCTCGCCATGACATGATCCAGCACTTTGCTTCGATTGGATTCTGCTGCCCTACATACACGAACCCGGCCGAGTATTTCATTGGTCTCGTCAACACGGACTTCGACGACCACGTTGATGTCGACAAGCTTGTGCAGGCATACGACCAAAGTCAAGAAAAGAAACAGCTCATGGACCTCCTCGTTGCCGATCAATCTACACTGCAGAACCTGCCGGACTTTGAGCTGTTGTCGCCGTCGCCGTTGCGGCAGTTCCGTGTGCTCATGTACCGCAACACGCTGAATAATTTGCGGAACCCCGGCATCTACTGGATCCGGCTGTTCATGTACTTCTGCCTGAGCTTCATGGTCGGCACCATGTACCTGAGCACGAACGACGACCTGAGCGCCGAAGACCTCGTGCCCATGCTGTTCTACGTGCAGGCGTTCCTCGTGTTCATGTCCGTGGCCGTGCTCCCGTTCTTCATCGAGCAGCGCGCTGTGTTTGCTCGCGAGCGCGCCAACAGTTCGCTCAGCGTCGTGAGCTACGTGTGCGCCAACTTCTTGGCGACGCTGCCAGGCATCTTCTTGATCGCAGTCATGTCGACGGCGCTCGTCGTGCTGCTCGCTGACTTGAACGCGATCGAGTACTTTCTGCTGAATCTGTTCTTGTCGCTCGTGGTGGCCGAGTCCATGATGCACGTGATTGGCGCTGCCGTACCGCACTACATCATTGGCATTGCCCTGGGCGCCGGTGTGTTTGGCATGTTCATGCTGTGCGAGGGCTTCATGGTCCCTCGCGAGTCGATCCCGAGCTACTGGATTTGGGGCTACTACATGGCGTTCCACTCGTACTCGTTCGAGTCGTTCGTGTTCAAGCAATTCGAGAGCGAGACGTCGGCGGAAGCAAAGGCCATTTTGACAAAGTACGGCATGGAGAACGTGGACGTCACGCGGGACATGTTGATTTTGGTTGGATACGTCGTGGTCTTGCAGGTGATGTATGTGGCCATCCTTTGGAGGTTTCATACCGGGCGAAGCTGATCAAGTATCTCGGTTGATGTAAGTAACGTGTTGTATCGATCGGCATATTGTAGTCATCGTTGGGAGATCATTTATAGTAGCATTAACTAAGCAAAGGGCGTGAAAGAAATACAGCCCCGGGCAGTCTTCTTGGCGAATTTCGAGTGGTAAATAAACGATGCGTTCTGGGTATGGTGACGCTCAACTTTCTGTATCAACCTCGTCAGATGTTCGATGCGTAGTGAACTCGTCGGCCAAATGCGTCGCACAATGACTTCGCGAGACACGTAATCGTAGCGGTTGCTTCGATCTGCATATCACGTATTTCAAAAAGCAGTACTACACGTTGCTTCGCCAAAGCTTCATAGACGGCAGCGTATCATTAGCCACGAGTGACGACAAAGAATCTCGTGCCGGTGCTCTTCCTTATGCGCAAGTCAATCGTAGACTTTGAAATTAGGGCTGCATGACGTCCCACTCGTACTCGCACGAGCTGACCGGAATAAAAAAGTATTCAGAACGAGACGTTTGACAAGGCGTGATACACTTTGACGATCACAGCATGGAAGATGCGGGTGCAACAAAACACATATCGATGATAGTGTTTGCTGCAGTCGTATCGAATATGCCCCACCGGACGTGTCGAAAGAACACGCGATCGTATCTGTCAGGGCACCTGCGTATTCCGCCCACTTTTAGGTCAAGTTAAAGCTCTTACGCTCTAGATGTGCGAGCAAAAGATGGAGGTTAGGTCAAGGCAATAATTGGCGTTGTCCAGTCGCCATGCTCATGGGTTTCTTCACGCATCTCTACGCGCCATGAGCACATACGCATTGATTGGCAACTCGCGTGTGGTTTGTGTCGTGTCCAAGTCAGCAGACCGATCATCTGCTGCTTCCGTGGGGGCAAGACCAAAGTCATTTGGTATGCGGACTCAAGCAGACGATACAAAACAGGTGCTCATTTTCAACGCGCCTCATGTAGCAGAGCGTAAGCATAAAAATTTCGCCGTCTGCGACTGCTTCGACATGTTTCCAGCTGGGGCCTTGATGACGATGGACGACATTGTCAAGCTGTTGGCACGTGGAAAGGCTCAATGCTTACATTTGCTGACAAACTGGTTCACGAAGCACTCGTGGCGGAAATAACAGATTCGATGAGTCCACTTGTAAACCGATTGTTGTATACGTCCAGTGCTACGAATCAGATTGTCAAGAAAAGCGTCAAAGCGCTAGAACGGCACACATTATGCAAAATCACAGTAAAGGCGGTTAAATGTATTCTACGATTGTGTGTTTAATCAAGACTTATTAAACATCTTATTAAACGCAGAATTTATTTATTCGTGCTCATATTCGATGATGATACTTTCCTGCTCTGCAGTGATTGCAAGAAATCACGTCGTAGTTGGATGGCCGACATCTATAGTGCGATTCCGACAAATACAATTCCCGTCGCTTATCCACTATCATCTCATCAATAACTATAATTGACGCATGTAGCCAGCAATATGTTTGTGGTATTTTAAGCGCAGTTAAAAATAGGTTACAAAAGTGATATAATTTATCCTAAATCTTTGCGCTGGTTTTGTAAAAATAATTGGTGCATTTGCGAGCAACTTGTCTTGCTAACGCTTCATCCTGAGTAGTAAAATGCAATTTGCGTGATAAATGTAAGCCCCAACCTACATGACATATCGCTCGCGACATGAGCTGCAGCGTAACGGTTCTGATGCCGGCTATTGAGACAATTCCTGTACTATATTTATTTGTGCGCCACTGCTAAGAACATAATAGTTGATGAATAATTGCGTACTGGTAAGAAGTTTGACCTTGTTATTGTCCTCGATTTCTGGATCGGCTTTTACAACTTGGATGCAGCGTCGACACTAAACTTTCGATGTTTTTGGTACGGCATATAAAACAATCGTAAACAAATTCCAGCGTTTATTCTATACATTTTGTCCTGTCTAAACCAATATATGTATATATATATGATTGCGGCCAAAGCTACAATCCGTGCCGCTGTGGAGTTGCGGTAGGTTCACATTTTGTCAGATAGAATGTATGCGATAATCATGCACATCAGAACTAAAACCAAAGGAAAGGCGGACTCACGCCAAGTCTTTTACTTTGTAAAGCTGGCAACGTGAAAAATAGGTGACACCGAATGTTGTTTGTAGGTAAACACGACGAGTTTCACGGTTGGGTGACAATACCCATATTCGACCGTCCTCATACCAGACCGGCTGTTATGCAAGACTTGATAGTCGTGCCAAACATCGTGAGCTTGATCAAGATACTGCCTATTTAATTTTGTACGTGCTCCACTTGTAATTGATCGCAAGTTCTAGCGCGGCCATTCTGACGCATGGCATGTAGTGTAAGGCAACTCGTACTATCGTAAGGTGCGAGGAAGTATGTAAACTCATTCATGTATTATAGAGCAATTGATGAAGTCATGCTTTCTTTGCTTCGTTCATGACCCCACCAGTGCCTCCTAGGAACGCTGCAACTATATACGTGCGTTTAGCGCTTAATTGTACGAATAACCGGGTTGCCTTATACCGTCCCAATGACCGCCCGACTCCATCGGCCGCTCAGCGGCGGCCAGTGTGGAATTTCCACAGGATAAAGGCGAAGATGGACTGAAAACCCGCAATGTAGGCGACAAGCAGCAGCATGTCCCGCGTGACGTCCACGTTCTCCATGCCGTACTTTGTCAAAATGGCCTTTGCTTCCGCCGACGTCTCGCTCTCGAATTGCTTGAACACGAACGACTCGAACGAGTACGAGTGGAACGCCATGTAGTAGCCCCAAATCCAGTAGCTCGGGATCGACTCGCGAGGGACCATGAAGCCCTCGCACAGCATGAACATGCCAAACACACCGGCGCCCAGGGCAATGCCAATGATGTAGTGCGGTACGGCAGCGCCAATCACGTGCATCATGGACTCGGCCACCACGAGCGACAAGAACAGATTCAGCAGAAAGTACTCGATCGCGTTCAAGTCAGCGAGCAGCACGACGAGCGCCGTCGACATGACTGCGATCAAGAAGATGCCTGGCAGCGTCGCCAAGAAGTTGGCGCACACGTAGCTCACGACGCTGAGCGAACTGTTGGCGCGCTCGCGAGCAAACACAGCGCGCTGCTCGATGAAGAACGGGAGCACGGCCACGGACATGAACACGAGGAACGCCTGCACGTAGAACAGCATGGGCACGAGGTCTTCGGCGCTCAGGTCGTCGTTCGTGCTCAGGTACATGGTGCCGACCATGAAGCTCAGGCAGAAGTACATGAACAGCCGGATCCAGTAGATGCCGGGGTTCCGCAAATTGTTCAGCGTGTTGCGGTACATGAGCACACGGAACTGCCGCAACGGCGACGGTAGCAGCTTCTGCACGTCGGGCAAGTGCTGCAGCATCTTGCGGTCGCCCTCGATGCGCTGGCTCAGGTCCTTGCGGAGGTCGCTCTGCGCGTACGCGTGCACGAGCGCCGGCACGTCGGCGTGGTCGTCAAAGTCCGTGTTCACGAGGCTGATAAAGTACTCGGCCGGGTTCATGTACTGCGGACAGTCGTAGCCCGCGGCGCTAAAGTGTGAAATCATCTGCGGCCGCGGCCCGCAGTACACTGTCTCGCCCGCCGACAGCACGACGACGTTCGTGAACATGTCGTACACGAGCGACGACGGCTGGTGGATCGTGCACAACACTGTCTTCCCCTCGGCACAGAGCTTGACAATGAGCTTCATGACGTTGTGCGTAGCGCTCGAGTCGAGGCCGCTCGTGGGCTCGTCGAGGATCAACACGCTCGGGTTCGACAGCAGTTCCATGGCGATGCTCAGGCGCCGCTTCTGGCCACCCGACAGCCCCTTGCGGAACAGGTCGCCCACGAGCGTGTGGCGGCACGTGGCGAGTCCCATGGCCTCGAGCACGTCGTCCACGCGGCTGTTGATCTGCTCGGACCGGACGCTCGGGGGGAGACTGAGCTTGGCCGCCATGCGCATGGTCTCGAGCACCGTGAACGACCCGAGGAGCGAGTCTTCCTGCGCCACGTAACTCGTGACGGCGCGGAACGTTTTGCTCACGCGGGGCTCGCCATTGAGCTCCAAATCGCCCGTGACTTGGCCCGAGCTGATGCGGTCGGCCAAGAGGTCCACGAGCGTCGTCTTGCCGGAGCCGGACGGCCCCATAATGGCCGTGAGTTCGCCCGGGGCGCACCGCCCGCTCACGCGCTTCAAGATGGGCTTCCGGCCGTCCGGGGCGTCGGCGCTCGGGCGGCACGCGACCGAGTAGCTCAGGTTGCTCCAGCTGTAGACACAGGGGTTCGAGTGGTGCGGCGGGTACGACGGCGTGCCGAGTTTGCCGCCCGTTTCGAGCAGATTGAGCGCCGCGTAGGGCGTCGCGAGCGGCGAAGCCATGACCAGAGACGACGGCCGGTCGGGCTCGAGCACGAAGAAGGGCAGGCAGGGGCTACTGCTGCTACTGCTGCGGTTGTGGGTGGCGACGCTGTCGGTCGACGCGCGCCCGTTGACAGCGAAGGGGGAGGAGAAGAGGGCAAATGGAATTGTGACGGGTCTGACGTCCGACTGGGAAGTGCGGCGAGCGCCCGCGCTTGCGACGCCGGCCATCTGGCCGCGTGCCTATCCACGTCCGCGTCGACGGCTTGAAGAGAGGGCGCAATGCGACGTGCGGAGCAAGTACCGCGGGGGGGGGGGGTGCGGACGCCACAGGACAGATGGGAGGGCCGTGGTCAGGCACGGACGACCAAGTCAGGCACCGCACGCACAAGCGCACACATGCGCAGACCGACAGGTGGACCGATGGACAGCTGGACGGGTACGTGGATGGACAAAGCGATGAAAGCTGATGCTGCTGCTGGTGCTGCTGGTGCTGCTGCTGGTGGTGGTGTTGTCGTTTGCACAAGTGGTTGTTATGGACCCACGTGTATGTGGGTGTACATGGGCGTAAAAGACGCGATTCGTAGGTACGCGAAACGCAAACCCGACTTGCACGGCAAAGGGCAGACAAGCGCAGGTCACGCATGCCACCTGATCGGTATCGGTATCGGCAATCGGAAGCCAAGTTCACTCGGAAGGCGATAAAAATGGAACGGTATAAATAGACACTGCGTTGTTATTCATAGCCCTGCGTAAGACGCACGAGGCGGGCGCTGATTCGTAGTGGCGAGCACGCTTTTGTATGGATCAGAAGAGCGTCGCGCGGGACAAGCAGTGCGTGTGTATTCGATTCGCTAGCGAGTCCACTCTTAAAGGCCATGCAACTTGTGGGCGGCTCGGACCTCGAACCCGCTTTTTCGGCCTTGGGTTGCCATATATCATGTGGCAAACAGGTGGTGTGTCGTCAACTGCTTCAAGTCCAGCTCGTGGGTCGCGTCGCCGCTCGACCCGCGATCGTTCCAGAAACTCGATATCTCCGCCAGGCGATTGCCTTTCGAAGCGATTTGTAGTGCGACTCCAACGGCTTTCGATGTCTGGATGCTCTTGGCGCGAGCGCACATGATTTGCGGTTCAATTCCTTGGAAGGCACCCCTCTCATCTACAGGCGATAGCTGCTGGTGTCCTCACGACGAAATGTTTGGGAAAAAGCACAAGGCGATATGACGTCCAACATTTTCCGACGACCGGCTCGGTTGACTGATCCGACCTGCCAACTCAGGTCAAAGCTTACGGAGATGTCGACATACCTCTGGTCGAGGCGATCCAAGATCACCCTCTTCGTTACATTGCAGCCCCCGTTGTTGATCGCGCTTCTCTAGAAAACCGTTTGGAGTTTCGCTATCGTAAACACGTAATACTGGTGGTCGAGGGAGCGAAGCCCATTACTCATCAAGCGATTGCCATGCTCATGTGACCCGATCGAACTCGCGTCGACGACGTAGTGAAGGAAGCGGTGCATCCGAGAGCATGTCGCCCCACGCTAGTGCTTGACTCTCTCCCCGGTGCGAACTGCTCGGCGGGTCCAGAGGCTGTGATTTGGCAACTCCACGGAGCTGCTCTTGGCCAGAATTTGGTTTCGATCCTCGTCAAGCTCTTCAGCTCAGGTTCGGTCTGAGCAGTATGCACAACGCCTTCACTATGTATCGTGAAGCTCGCCACCGATCGCAGCTCGTCATGTCACGACCGATGCGTAACATGACATGTTCGTGATCTACAAGAGCTAACGCCTTGTGTGTAAAAAACAGTTACAACCGACTCGTGATCCTGCGCAAGTGGAAGAACTGTTTTGATCTGCGTATTGCAATCGGTTTGTCATGCAAGCGCGTCGCAGTAGTGTTGTTTACGCTAGCAATGATTGAAGCACACGGAAATGTTACAATGAACTCAATCTATCGCGCGGAGATGTGTCTCCCGTATCAACGACTGTATCAAGTTTTTGTTTGGCACCCTCGTGCTGACTCCCACTCCCACTTACCTCACCCCCACCAACTTATGATAGCGCAAGAATGGGACCATTCGTAAACAACAGCGCTTGCTGGCAATTCCCACCCTGTTTCGAACGTTGATATCGCTGGCATTGGCCATTGTCATCTTACTGCCGTCATATTTAAAAATGAAGTTTCAGCACGCTCACCACTGATGTAGCGGTAGCTGCAGGACAAGGGTAGCTACTGAACTATCTATCTTCACCGAGAAGCTGACATGAAACGTTGAGGATCTTTTTGTCGTATATTTGAGGCCAGAGCTTGTTCGCAGAAAAATGATGGAACACAAAAGCAGGGGTCAATCAGGTACAATCATGCTCCATGCGTCTGGCTGGTCATAAGCGTCAGCAACGCTGCGTGGGGACAAGATATTCAAGTTATATGTTTGTACTCTACGAAGACTTTCTGTATACTATGCTCGAACAATTGAACAACACGTCGGAGAAAACAAAGATTATTTTGGCTCACGGCTCACAAGGCAGTTTCAAAAATTCTAGTATCGGGTCGAACATGACGTTGTGGTTCCGAATATAGTTTGGCCGTCCTTGTCATGCACCAATCACGAGGTGTGACACAATGAGCGGAAGGATCGGTGGAAAAGGCGTGTTCGCTTTTATAACGATTGGAAGAATTGGTCTGGTTAAAAAGAAAAACGTCGCCTTGTCTCGCATGTTGCTCGTCTTCAAAGAGATCTTTTCTGGAGCTTGTATGGAAAATACGTATGATATGGGAACTTTATAGGATCTGAAGTTGTACAAGCTAAAGAAAAATGGACGTATAGGATACATTTGTTAAGAATACGCGATTTCGCCTAAAAGAAAAGAAGATATTACGTGTATTACAGCTTTCTTTATTTGACAAAATAACAAAATAACAGGATGTCATGATACTGCATGGACAAACGAAATTTTTATAGCTTAAGAAAGCTAACATGACCTCCCAATGACCAACTTCATTATACTAAAACTCATCTTGGTTCAACAGCCATATAACAGAATCGTTTTGCATAAAAAATCGATGGTTTTCATGTTTTATACGCGAGGAAACACAAATAGACATTCAGAGATTCGGGACTTACCGAAACTTCGACATTCTCGCTACAGTTAGCACGACTGCTTGTTGCGGCCCGAACAATCTCGTACGCCGAGCACAATTCACACAAGTTTTACCCAATGCCAGGCTCGACGAATGCAAGTTAATTTAATAACTTTTCGGTCCTAATCGCCTGCGTATCATCCTGTATAGTATGGTGGTTTTATGATGCTCGAATTAGAGCTCATCCTTTATCACTGCTTGCTGCACCTTAAACGATATCCTAATAGACCAGCTATGCACGTAAATTGTGCGCGAAATGATGGTTTTTGGGCAGACTGTTCACATCACTTTATGTCCTTAAGCACGACATGCACATTTTTCACGAACTATTCCTTTACTACTCGATGTAGATGAGAGAACATGATCGGACTATTTTTCTTGATTAAAAGTGTACTCCATTCAAAAAATGACAACGCTTTTACGATCGCTTTATAGAGCGCACGCCCCATAAGCAGACTTCCATCCCGTCAAACCGCTTGCGAACGGGTATGATGGCGTTTTTCGCAGTGTAGTCGATCTTTGTAAACCACTATTCGTCAAGTAACCATTAGAGCGACTCTCCCCAATCTTACTACCTAGTATAAATGCAACAGTCGAGCACACATTCATCGCGAGCAGACAGGGGGTGGCGATTAATGAAAACAACGATCTTTCCGATCGCCGTATCCAGGCGAACAAGTTTGACTACTCATCCGCCTTCTCGATAAGCCAAGAGTCTTAGCCTACCAAAACGTCTTTCATATACTCGGTAAACGTGTTCGACCGCTTAGCATTATATATAAAGGTCGCTTGTAGGGATTAAAAAAATTGACTGTGCTATGACCTCTAAATGTGCTATATCCCTATGGACCATGCCTTGTGCAAAGGATAAAAAGACAGTAGAAAAATGATTCAAATAAACATCCAGCCCTAAAAATTACCCAGGTATCTAACGACTCGAAATAAACCTTCAGGTTCACACTGGTTATCGAACAAGAACAAGACTGATTATAGATGTTCTATACACAATGGTTGCACATCAATAGCGAAATTTTCATTACAACGATAAATCTGTATGTTGAATGGCGAATTCCTGTCGCCTACTATGGAATAATATAATACATGCCACGATGTGAAGCTTCAGAATGAAAAGTATGGTTAGCTGTGAAGTTTTAATTATACATTGCTGTCGTACCCTGTAGGTAGCGACGTAAAACACAGAGATTGGGGAGAATGATTTTGTACAACACATATGCTGGATGTCAGTTACAAGCTCACACTATTTTCGAATAATGATTCTTTTCACAACACGGTGTACGATATGCGTGAGCGATATATTAGGTCGGTACGTGGGAATTATTTAGAAAAAATACAGAACGTGGATTTTTAGGGTCCCACGGGAGATGGTGGAAGCAAAATGTTTGGCAGCCAAGAAGTCTCTGTCCTATTGAGAAAACCCGTATCTTGAGTGCACGCGTAAGAGCTCGAATTGAAGTTAAGAACAAAATGCAACATAATTAAGATGCAAGAGAAAGCGTCTTATTATATACGTTATCGTTTCTCTAGCTTCAAATTTTCGCGGCAGATTAATCAGCTAATGTAACGGAAATAGTCGTTCGGATACAATAAAATCGCCAAAAGTATAACCTGGATTTCCTTTTATTTGTCTCGTAAAGTGTTGCCGTACAACCCTTCCCTCGTCCAGACTAGTTAAGGAAAACGCTGTAATGTATACTGTCACCGTCAGCTTATATAAATCACTTTACCATCTCTTTGCGCCACTAATCTAATGACGGATCATACAATGCATTTGTACAATATCTGAGCAGAATACTCTAAATTTCTCGTAGATAGATATATAGCCATGATTATTATCTCTAACATCTAAAATTCTCATATGCT